CCCCCCCCGTTTTCTAAGCCCACTGACGGCCACCACCACCACGTCCAATGGTGACAATCTCATTTCAATAAGGAAAAGAAGGAAAACTTCCAGCAAACGACAGCGAGGTCCGTCCGTCCGTCTGCCCGGCGAACGGTCCGGGCCGGGCTGTCTCCGCCTGCCCCGGGCCCGATAAAACCGATAGACGCATTGATTTCGATGAGGGATTCATTAAGGGAATGAAGGGAGACCGGTCCCTCTGCTGCTCCTCCGAGCGAGCGGCCAGGTCAGGAGGACACAAGAAATAAAAAAAGGAAAGAGAAAAGCAAAAAGGCAATAAGACGGGATGAAAAATTCCTCGCGGCCAGGTGGAAAGGGAAGGGAGAAATGGGACAGGAAGATGGGAGCGCGGAGACCAGCGGGATGGCTGGGGGGGGGGGGCGGAAGTGGGGAGCCCGGTTGCGGATGCAGAGTCCTTACTGCTCCAGAGACAGCCCGTCGTTAGATGCAGCGATCTCGGCGGCGGCGGGGGGTCCAGCAGCCATAGCAGGAGAGGGTGAGAGGGGGTGGAAATCGGCGCTGTGGTGTGGTCGGCCAGGCTTGTCCGAGCGCCCGGCGATACCAACGTCATGCCGTGATACATCGCCCGGACCGGACCGGACCGGACCGGCCGGCACCCCCCGCTGGAGCGGCGCTCGGGAGTCTCCAGCGGCGCGGCGGGGCCACCCGCCCTAGCCCGCTCCAGCCCGCTCCAGCCCGCTCTAGCCCGCTCCAGGCCGCTCCAGGCCGCTCCAGGCCGCTCCAGGCCGCTTCAGGCAGGCCGCTTCAGGCAGGCCGCTTCAGGCAGGCCGCTTCAGGCCGCTTCAGGCCGCTCCAGCACAGCACCGCCACGCGGTTTACCGCGCGAGCAGGTGACTCTGATCAATGGGCGCCGCGTCACAGGGGGCCCCGCCCGCTGCTGGAGAAGTGCAGGGGCACAGAGGCTGCCTTTGGCTGGAGAGCAAGAGAGAGAGAGAGAGAGAGAGAGAGAGAGAGCGAGAGAGCGAGAGAGAGAGAGAGTTGGTCAAGCTAGCGAGAGGTGCAGGCAGGAGTCCGGCTGCTGGCGCGGCTGGCTGAGAGAGAATGGGAGTAATGGGAGGGTGAGAGTGAGACAGTGAGAGAGGGATGGAGGAGGAGAGAGAGGGGGGGGAGGGGCACGCTGCAGGCATAATGTGCGGTCCAGTACGTGGAGGAGATACCGCCCCCGGCTGGGTATGCAAAAATCCATGCTCCCGGTCGTTGTAAGCAAGGCCCCCCCCCCCCCCAAAGTTGGGGGGCAACACGCCGCGACGCCGCGCTGCATCCGAGCTGGACCAGCACGGGGCAGGGTGGAGCGATGAGGGGAGGGGAGGGGA